GATGCTAAGAAATGTGATCAGCCCAAGAGGAAAAACTAAAAAAAAAAAAAAATTAACAAGTGTTCTCCAATAAATTGGACTCACAGAGCACTCAAAGTCAAGAAGCACTCACAGCTTACAAATGTGTAAATATCCTATTCCTATAATCATGAGCACAGGAGCCAAAAATATCCAGCCATCTGTGGAAAGCTCCTGACAAGAGGTTTGAAGTAGAAAAGAAGGAAAAAAAAGAACCCCAGGCAACATTATGAAGAGAAAAACACTTCACAGAAATAAAATTGTTTTCAGAGTTTATTATAAAGCTACAGTAGTTAAGGATAGACATTACTGAGTTTTTATTCTGAAGTACAATAATAGATCAAAGTATATAAGGTTCCTATTAAAACAGATTTAATGTATTTTCACAACAAAAAAATGTTGGTACAGATGCATACCTGTAATTTTTTTTTTTTTTTTTTTTTTTTTTTTTTTTTGCGGAACCGGGGATTGAACTCAGGCCCTTGCGCTTGCCAGGGAAGCGCTTATTCCACTGAGCCATCTCCCCAGCCCCAAAAACTTAATTTTTAATTCCTACCTTACACCAGTTAAAAAAAAAGCCAGGCATGGTGGTGCACGCCAGTCACCCCAGTACCCAGGAAGCTGAGGCAGGATTGCTGCAAGCCTGAGCTACATAGCGAGTTCAAGGCCAAAATAAATTATATAGCAAGACCCTGTGTCTCAAAAAAAAAGCCTAGGAAAAAAAACCCTCAAAATTAGACAAGGCAAAAATGGTGGCATATACCTATAATCTTAGCACTCTAGTATCTCAAAGTCGAGCCTAGTCTGGGCAATTAGCAGCTAGTGATACTGTCAAAATTTTTTAAAGGGGGGTGCTAGAGAAAAGTAGCTCACTAATAAGGTCCTGAGTAGGGCCCAAACATGAAGTTAAAATAAAATGTCCAGGAAATCTTCATTCATGAATTAAGGAGTCTTGACAGATCACAGACTATTAAAATTCTTAAGATTCTGAAAATAGGTAAGACATACTAGATTTACAGCACATGTAACTGACTTTTATCTATCCAGAATTGTAAAGAAACTCTACATATAAAAAGCAGGCAGGCCAGGAATTTAGCTCACTGACATCACATCCGCCTGGCAAACCATCTTTAGTTCTCACTGAAAAAAAAAAAAAAAAAGGCAATCCTGGCAATCCCGATTTTTAGTAAAGGGCCAGGGAGACAGCTCGGCGGCATAAACACCTGACTGGCAAGTGCAAGGTCCCAAGTTCACTCCTTGGTTTAAGAAAAAGTAAAAAATAAAATAAAATGCAAAGACTTTACAAAAGATACACAAACAACCTAACAAGTATGAGACAACGCTGGACCCTGGAATACAGAGCACAAAACAAAAAGTGGAACCTGAAATCTGGATATTAAAGCAAAGTGACAATATGAACTTTTTAATTTAGAAAAATTCACCAGTCATGTTCTAAGCATAGTACTGAAACACAAGAAACTGGGAGCAGCACGTATGGAAACAGTTACTCGTACAACTTTCCTGAAATTTAAAGTTTCAAAAGTTTTTATTTTTGTAAGTACATTATCACAGTAAATTCTGCAAAGGTTGCTGTGAAGCAGGTGATACTAAACTACTACTGAGGGGAGAAATGGTACAACCACATTAAAAGATTTGGGAATTTCTTTAAAAACATTATCAGCCAATTTATTTCCTCAAAAGAAAATATATACACACCTTATACAACAGTCAGCAATTTTAATAACCCAGATATCCACCAGAATTGTGCATTTTATACAATTTTATTTAGCAATATAAAAATAACCAATGCACTCAAACTACATGGACAAATCTCAAAACAGCTGAAAAGCAGCCAGACAAGGTATGATACAGTTTCTCTCTTGGGTATCAGGACAAAACTGGGGGTCTCACACGTGTCAAGCAGGGACTGTGCCACTGAGCTAAATCCTCAGTCCAGTTTCTTTCATAAATGAAAAGCCCAATATTAAAAGTGCAAAATAAAGAGAGCAGCAGGAAATAGCGACTGCTCTTTGGCATATGGGGAGGGAAGCAAGATGGCAAGGGGAGATTTTGAGGGGACTGAAGTGTTTTGTATCCATGTTCCAAGTCTCTTTGAGAAATGTGATCATGCACTAGAGATATATAAATATACATAAATACATAAACGTTGGTCTAACATATGCTGGGAAGGGGTTTGAAAAAAGAAATTTAAAAATCTGATGTGTATTTACAACTTCCCAGTATGTTAACCATTATGTACTACAGGCATGTACCAATAAATATTTTTTTAAAGTATAAAATACTTTCCAATAGAAGCAAAGTCAGTATTGCTTTTCTGTGAGTTGGAACGGGTGGGTTACGACCAGGAAAGAGCACACAACACTCTCGATAAGAGTATTGGTATCTGGACGTACCCTTTTCAAGAAGGTATAATTGAGATCTGAGCATTCTGCCACAATGACACATTACATGTAACGGCTTAAAACATGAGCCATTATTCCTCAGGCAAACACAAATTAAACCACATGGAACCCATCAGAATGGCTAAGCTATTTGTTGAAGTGAGGAGTATGAGGTAACCTGAGCTTTTTTTTTTTTTTAGAACTGGGGGTTGAACTCAAGACCCTTGTGCTTTCTGAGGCAAGCACTTACTGTACTGAGCTATCTCCCTGGCCCCAGAACTTCTACTGCTACTTGGTAATAAATTACTTTGGATAAAATGTATGGCAATTTCCTTTACAACTCTCCCCCTTGGCCAGTTTCAACTTTTATCAGTATATACACATATGTACACACCGCATGTACAAAGCCTAATTTAACAACACTCATGGCAAATTAGCAATAGCCCAACTCAAAGCCCAGGTTGCCATGAGTAATCACAGTAAACCAATAAAACATTAATATACCCATACTGCATATTTTAAAAATCTGAGCCTAGAGCAGTGATGCACCCCTTTTAATCCCAACATTCTGGGAGTGCCAAGGAATAACCCCAAGTTTTGAGGAGAACATAGGCAATTTATGGAGACGTGTTCTCAAAACTTAAGAGGCTTAGGGCTCAGCTCAATGCAAATGAACTTTAATAACCAGTACCAAAATAAGTTTAAAATCTTTCTTAAAACTTTTAGGCCAGGGCTGGTGGCACATGCCTATAATTCCGGCACTTAAGAGGCCAAGCTGACTGAGGCAGGAATGCCAAAATTTGGAGACCAACCTACAGTGAGACCAAGAGCTCTACATGTCCCAATGTTCCAGGACATGTAAAGTACACCTATGAAAATTAGAAAAAACGCAGTTTCTGTAGGATAAAGGCAGAAACTGTCAGGGAAGGACCAAAAAGCAACTTTTTGGGAGGTAAAAGATTGCCATTTTATATAGTACATATATTTATTTTTCACATTTCAGATTTAAATTCTACCTTAAAACACTACTAGCCAAAAAAATAATACTAGCCAGGCATGATAGTATATGCCTGCATCCCAGCCGTGGCTGTGAACGTAAGGCCAGCCTGGCCTACATAGGAAGTTCAAGGCAGCCTGAACTATGTCTCATTAAAAAAAACCTAAAAGTAAACACAAAAATTTCCTATTACTAACTTTCTATTGATAAAGATTTGACAGGGTAGAGCTAAAGAGTGGCACATGTCTGCAATCTCAGCACCTTGGCAGCTGAGGTAGAAGGATGAAGTTCCAGGGCAGCCTGAGACTAATGGAGTGTTTCACTCACAACAAAAATAGCACTGATGGGGGGTTGTTTCCTCTATAATATGGAGCTGAGGCAATTTCAGAAATGACAATATTTGGGACTTTCGATCATCTTTATGGTTAACTACACTTATTTCCCATCGACTTCTCTGTAACTGGCTTCACAACCCAAAAGGGTAGTTTAAGATGCCAATAATCAAATGCATATTTAATGTCAGGCAAAAAAGACAGAAACCTGCAAACAGCCACATCATATGCTGTTTGATGAAAAGACTTTGGTCTGAAGCGTGATTTCTCTTGCTACCTTTTTCCTCTAGGATGTAAACAGGAAACAAGAGGTAAAAGCACTACCAGAGGTTCTTAGTATTAGCCCCTACTTCGCTCCCCATTTAGTTTTTAGGTTGAGAATTAAAATATCAACAAATGACTTTAATGTACACTTAAGTTTACAGCCCAATAAAGGAAACAGGCTGACACAATGACTCTAGATGTCCCCTTAAAATTTAGCAAATATCAACTTCATTAAACTAATGATTGGGGGAAGAGACTTGAGAAAACCCTAAATAAATTGCTAATTTCATTTTTTTTTAATTTCTAATTTCAAAAAGTTTTTTTTAAAAAAAAGCCCACTGCCACAAAAAGCTGTGTTAAAGTTTTATTAAATTTCAATACAAAAACATTCCAAAAAGTAATCTATAGTCTAAGAGTTCTATGTCAAACAAGACATTTTATCATTCCATTTCTTTACAGCCAGTATAAAGCCAAATGAGTCAACTTATTCTTTTCTCAATGGGAGCAAAATTAAGCCTGCT